GTCTGTTTAGGAGAGCAGACTCCCCTGAGGCAGACCCTCAGCAGACCCAACAGCAAGGAGTGTTGAGCTCAAGGTCCTCAGGGGCCAGGGTGGGACTGAGGCTGAGAAGATGGGGTTCGGTGGCTTGGGCAGACTGTACAGACAATCTGGATTGCAGAGGAGCCGGCTGGCGCGGGCGGCTGTGGGGGAGGCTGGAACTGCAGACTATTTTTAGGCTCCTGCTTGATTTGAGAGACAAGGATGCTCCAGGCTACAAGCCCTTGTTTGCTGGGGAAAGACTAAGGTGGCCCAGGTTTCCCCACCCCCAGCCCCCAGAGCTGGAGGTCTCCAGAGCCTCCTCTTTTGTCCCTAGGGTCCAGGGGCTGGGGCCAGGAAGTGGACTGGAAGCATCCCCCGCACCCTAGATATGCAAACCACGATTGCAAACCATGATTTCCAGACAATTCGCACACTGCCCTACTTCCTGATCATGTGGAACTGAAAGTCCCCTTTCAGAGGACCCTCAGCAGAGAAGTGCATTCACCCAAGTCCACCTTCAGATGTCCCTCGTGGGTATCAGGAAAGTCCTGAGAGGGTGACACAAGCTCTAAAGTCAGAAAGCACAAATTGGGGGATGTTAGCATAATGGTAGAGCTACTGCATAGGTTCAGGGTAGCAAATATGTTACATCTGATCAATTAGTGATGTTTCTCTGAAGAGCAAAGTTGATAAAGCTTCATTCATTCATTCCACAAATAATTTATTGAGCATCTACTATGTGCCAGTCACTACTCCAGACGCGGGAGATTTAGCTGTGAACACAAAAGACAAAATTCCCAGACCTCACAGAGCAGATATTCTACAGCAGTGCTGTCCAATAGAAATATGATATGAGCCACACATATAATTTTAAATTTTCTAGTGGCCACATTAAAGAAATCAGTGAAATTAACTTTTAATAATATATTTTATTTAGCCCTATATGTCCAAAATATTATCATTTCAGTGTGTAACCAGTACATCCATTTGAGATAAATTCTTTTTTTTTCATATCACATTTCGAAATCTAGTGTCTTTTAAACTGACAGCACATCTCAATTCACATGAGCCACATTTCAAGGGCTCAGCAGCCCTTAGAGGAGGCAGTTCTAGAGGCAATCGCTCATCTGAGATCAGGAGAAAGGGATGCCACAATTGATTAGTGATGTCTGCTAGGGACATAGACCAGATCAAAGTGCAGGCCACGTGTTTGCCCACCATGATCTAGGCCCAACCCTCACCTCTACCTACACCCTTCAGAACCCATTCATTCTGCTCCTCCTCAAGAAACTACCAGTCTGGGACCCTGACCTTGTCTGAGTCCAGGAGTTCCAGGATAAGCACCATCATACAGAAAGGCACCAGCCGCTAACAGGGCAAGTGCCTCCTGGGTGTGGTGCTGTGCTCTTCCCTGGCAGGGGCTGGCTCATGACCACTGTTGACTCTGAGAATGTGGGTTTTGTTTTTGCTTTTGTTTCCCAAGGTCTCTTCCTCCTGGAGCTAAGTAAAACCGTATAAAAAAAGCATTTCCTGAGCCTGATTTAGCCCTTTTAGCCCTACCCTACCAGCCCATGCCCACAGACCTCCTGTCCGGCACCCTAGCTGGGATCGTTCCACTTTCTTTTCCAGATAATGAGGCTAAAATTGGGCCGTGGAAGGAGCTGGAAACACCTGGGGATGAGGGAGGGGAGTGAGGCAGGCAGGGATGGGGTATGAGGAAAACTGGATCTCATGCCCCCATCATCCTTACCATTATCATCATTATGTACCTCAACCCTGCTCAAAACCCTTCAATGGCTCCCTAGTATCTGCAGGATAAAAATCTAGGGCCTTTGCTCCCAGGATGAGGCACTGACAGTCGTTCCACCATCTCCACGTACTCTCCCTTCTTTCATCTTATTCTTTCATTCAACAAGAATGTATTGAGCACCTACTATTTGCCAGGCACTGTACCAGGTGCTATAGATACAGCTGTGAACAAAACTGACAAGGAGTCCATCTTCGTGGAGCTTACTTGGCCCTCTCACGCCCCCAGGCCTTTGCAAATTCCGTTCCCTCTTCCACTCAGTCACTTTCCTCCTGGGGGACTTCTACACGTCCTCTAAGACCCCACTCAAAGCCTTCCCTGAGTACCCCCAAATAGGTTAGGTATCCCCTCAGAGCTCCCACTTCTCACCTCGATCATCACACGTGTGCCCACTGTCCAGACCCACATCTCCCTCTCCTACCAGGATACAAGGGTCTCAAAGGCGGGGGCTGTGCCCTCTCCTGGGTTCCCCAGGGCCTTCTTCCAGGTGTACCTCCTGAAGACTCCCTCTTCCCCACAGCTCAGAGGTAACAAGGGGTGAGGGGGACTCCAGGAATTCTCTGGAGAATTTCAGGTCATTCTGAAACCTCTTCCTGGGAGCATCCTTCTCCTGGCATTCCAGGGGAATTCTCTGGAGAATTTCAGGTCATTCTGAAACCTCTTCCTGGGAGCATCCTTCTCCTGGCATTCCAGGGAGGGGATCACAGAAGGAAGGTTGTAGAGCAGAGGATAGAAGAGAGGTGGGGACAGCAGGACCGACTGGTCTGCAGGTAGAGGGAGCTGCTAGAGGGTTTTATGCAGCAGAGGAGGGGATCACAGAAGGAAGGTTGTAGAGCAGAGGATAGAAGAGAGGTGGGGACAGCAGGACTGACTGGTCTGCAGGTAGAGGGAGCTGCTAGAGGGTTTTATGCAGCAGAAAGACGACAAGGCAGCAGCCTTCCCCGGAGGAGAGAGGATGACAGGAAGAGTGGACAGGGGATAAACCTTGGTGGCCATTTAGATTTATGAAGTAGGAGGGAGACATGAAGGTGTCTCCTGTGCCCTACTGGCTTCCCCAGGAGAGCTGAGCTTTGGTCCTTCACAGGCTTGCCTCTCCTCCTCCCCAGACAGGATGCACAAGACCAAGGGCAGACAGATGAGCTCGGCTCCTGTCCCCAGCCTGGCCCTCAAGAGGCTGAAGTTGGCACCGTGTATATGGTGGATATCGCATAGATATCCATACAGCAGATCCTCCCACCACCAGGGCCCAGCCTAACGGTCCTGCCCATCCATTGCCTGCCAGAGGCCTGCTGTGCTGCTTGCCCACCAGGGCAAACAGGGCAGGAGCCTTGTGCCCAGCCGGCCTCCTCCCAGCCCACTCATTTACATGGGATTTACACGGCTTATTTCAAGCCTCAATGCACACGGCTTCCCACCCAGCTCAGCCTCTCCTGGTGCCTTTGTAGAAACAAAGAAGTTTATTCCGTCACCCAAGTCCCCTCCCGTGGGCCCATCAGGGCACAACAGCATCCCTGCAGGAACGAGGGAGGCTGCCAAGGTCCAGAGAGGGCAGGACCCAGCTCAGCCTCTCCTGGTGCCTTTGTAGAAACAAAGAAGTTTATTCCGTCACCCAAGTTCCCTCCCGTGGGCCCATCAGGGCACAACAGCATCCCTGCAGGAACGAGGGAGGCTGCCAAGGTCCAGAGAGGGCAGAGACCTCACTGGAAGTCACCCAGCAATCCAGAGGGGCCAGGGCTTAAGCCCACACTTTCTCCACTAGCTGCTTCACTCACTTGAGGCTGGGACCCACTCCGCCCACCCTTGGCCTTGCTACCAGCTGGGCACCTGCTCACTTGCTGAGGAGCAGCCTCGAGCTACTGCTGCTGCTTAGCCATGAGCTGGAAAATGAACAGACTGGCTCAACACAAGATGTGCAAGAGACGGCTGCACAGAAGCCCTACCCAGCCCTTCTTCCTTTTACACACAAGGGAAATGAACCTCAGGGAAGGCAAGGATCTGCCCAGGACCACAAAGGGTGACAGCAGCCCCAGGTCTCTGCCCCTGGCCCAGGGCTCTTCTGGGTCCCCCAAACTTTCAAGGACCCCTGACCCTGAGCACCTCTTTCCACCTTGGTCACCTTGGGAAGGCTGGGTGTAGGGAGAGGAAAGACTCGGGGAGAATCCTCAGTCCCAGGCTGGCACAGGTGAGCCCAGAGCTGACTGAAGGGGAGAGGGAATGCTGTGGGTGGGGGCAATTTCAGTCCTATAGGGTCTGCCAGAACTGACCAGAGTTGGACTCAGACTCAGAGAGGAACTGTCCTAAGTCTGCCTCGCGATCCCTTCTAGCAGTTACTGCTCAGGAAAAACTCCCAGCAAACCTCAAAGGCCTGGGCCCTGCAACCAGGGGCAGGGGACAAAGAGAAGGTAACAAAAGGGAGGGGAAAGAAGACAGAGGGGAGACCTCTGGGGCACATCTGGGCTCCCCTCCACTGTCCCTACCCACCAACCCAGAGCCACTGCCCTAGCCCGGACCTCCATCCCCCCTGTACAGCCTCCCAACTCCCCTCCCCACCTCCCACCCTAGCTGCAGGGGCCCCTCTGGCACAAACATCCAGGTTCTAAAACCCATTTGCTTTATCTTGGAGGAAACTCTGAGTTTGAAAGACATAAATCCCACCACATCCCTCATCACAAACCTGGCCCGTGGGTTCCTCCTTTACTCTCCAGCCCTGTCCCCTCCACACACAGCCTTCACCCAGATCCCAACCCTGCCTGGCTGCCAGGCCTGGGTAATACCCATTCCCTTGTCCCCACTCAGGCACCACCAGCCTCCTGCACACACACTTCTGTCACATCGTATCCCACGGGGCCTTATTTGACCAGCTTTCCCTCCTAAAACGGCCCCCTTGAAGGCAGGAAGCCTGAGGCTGTTTCTAGCCTGGCCTGGGAGGCTGGGGATAGGGAAAAGGAGTGCGGAGGTATCAGGGCTCCAGGGTCAAGGCTTGGGCAGGCAGCACATCACTCAGCAGCTGTGGATTCAGATCCCCTTCCCTGCCTCTCACTAGCTGGGGCTCTAACCAGGACATGTGAGAATGTGTGTGATGGTCACACAGGCAGGAGGCGCTGGGTAATAAATGGGAGCCCCCGTCCTCGCCCCCCACCCAAAGACGGCTTTGCAGGAAAGGAGCAAGCACAGGTAAATAAATAGCTTGTTTATTAGTAATATGTTACATTATTAAAGTGCATTGAGAAGAGATGCAGGGACCGAAGCTGGAAGGCCGCCGGCCCCAGGCCCTGCCCTGGGTAGCCAGACACAGCTGGAGAAGGGCCCAGCTCTCTGCTGAAATCCATGGACAGGACTGGGGGCAGGGCCGCTCTCCTGGAGAGATTGGCCCAGGCCATCCCCACCGAATTTTCACAGTTTAGCCTAAGTTATAGCATGTCCTGAGCTGAAGGTGGGAGGCTAGGAGCATGGAAGCACAGCCCCTGGGAAAGGGGGCTGAGGGGAGGGGAGGAGGCCCCCCGCCCCCCAACCCCCGATGCTAAGGGCAGAGTCCTGGAACCTCCCCCTGAGGACCCGGCTCCTCCTTCTAAATGAACACGGTGAACCTAGGGCTCAGTTTTCTTCTTCATTCTCCCCTGTCTCCCTCACCCCACCCCCTCCCATAACTACCCCACACATTGGGGGACTTGGATGATATCCCCCTCAGACTGGGCTCCCAGGGCAGAGCCAGCTCATGCCACTCTTCAAGAACCCATGCCTGTCTCTGGACTCTCATCCTATCCCCAGGAGCCTCAGACTGGGATCACCCCCGTCTCCAGTCCATCCCTTCCCAGCCCCTCCCTCTCCCACCCCAACCCCAGCATGTAGTTTTGGTATTTTCATACAGATGCAGTCAGAAGTAGCTATACATGAAATGAGCCTAACATAAAAATAGAGCTTTTTCCGTCCTTCTGTCCGGAAAGCAAACATCCTTCAATAAACATGCAAGGAAGCTGGCTGTCCAGTGGGACCCAGGTCTGCGGAAGGAGCTGCAGGGGGCAGGGCCAGGCAGAGGGTAGCTCTGGGTCTGCAGGAACACCAGTCACCCCCAGCTATGGGGGAGAGAGGAGGAAGGAGGCAATTTAGGCACAGAGAGTCCAAGGACTCAGGCCTCAGCCCCCAGGTGCACAGATGGGGTCCCAGCTCCACTTTCCAAACCCCACTCCCCGGCCCATGGGCTCGCAGGCCGGGAGCATCACTGCATTTAGTCAAGTTTGAGGAGGAGTTTTTGAAAAATATTCTCCAAAAGATAAAGTCCTGGGCCATTGATACCCCAGCTTCACAGTCAGTGCCCTCACTCTCTGGTCCCCCTGCATCCCGCCCACCTGGGGCCTAGCAGCCGCCTGCGGCTGGACGTCTCCAGGCCTGCGTCCCCCATCGCATTACTCAGTCCCTCTGGAAGAAGTGGTGGGCAAGGAGCTCCCAGGCCAGCTGGCTCTGAGTGTGGCACTTCTCTAGTGCCCCTGGGCTGCAGAAGCCTGCGGCATGCCCAGCCCAGGGAGGCCCTAGTGGACCAGCAGGCCAAGAGTGAGCATGGGCAGCACCCCCAGCCAGAGGGAGGAGGCCAGGGCGCAGGCTTGGCCCATCAGGTGCTCGGCCATGGCACCATTCTCGGGCAGTAGCTGCCAGTGCTGAGCCTCGCGGAGGTAGGAGCCCTCCTGGGCCTCGCAGAGGTAGTGGCCATACTGGCCGTCTGTAAGGTTCTCAATGAAAAGGATGCAGTTGGGGCTCTGGTGGCCGGGCTCGCAGCTCTGCTCCACTTTCTCTTTGTGACGCCACGAGTAGGTGGCATGGCGGGACTCCATGGGGCAGCTCAGGTAGTAGCGAGAGTTCCGGGCCAAGGACACCTTCTGCAGTGGGGCCTTGTCTGGAAAGGTGGGGGTGGGGGAATGAGGTGGGAGACAGCTGTGAGGAGGGGCTGAGGGCTCCCAGGGGAGGCTGTGTCCTCCCACAGACTGGGCTGCCAGGGACAAGACTCCTAAATGACTGCGGACAACTTAGCCCTCAATTTGCTCCTTTGTTCTCCTGTCTCCTTCACCCCACTCCTCTCATAACCAGCCCCCACACCAAGTAGGGGGCTCCCTCGGCATGACAGTGTCCTGCCCCATCTGCCTGGGGCCTGCAGATGTCTCCCACAGACCAGGGCAATCAGGGCATGTCTGTCCCACCCTCATCAGATGGTGGTCCGCATAGGACAGAGCAGATACCTGGCTCTGGGTTGGGACAATCCTTGTGTGGCTCAGCTGGATTAATGGATTGCAGCACTGACCTGGAGTTGGCAAGAGGAGATAGGCTCAGCACACAGGAAGCTGTAGCCCTGGCCTCTTCCCTGTCCTCCCCTCCACCCCAGTGTCAGCAGAGAGGAAGGCCTGGCCAGAATGGCCCAGCACTAGCACCTCCTCCAGCCCATCAGCACCACTCCCACTCCCAAGTCCACCAGCTCCCAGGGACAAGGGATCCTGCTCAACATACCGCTGGGAACTGTAGATGGAGACGCAGTGGCCCTGGTCCCAGCCGCAGTAGGGGTCTCGGGACATGAGGCAGCCGTGGCAGCCCCCACCGTAGACCTCACACAGATCCAGCGGTACCTGGCTCACCTCCCAGTGGGAGATCACGTATAACTTCCGCTGGAAGGAGAGCAGGACTTGGGTCAGGCCAGAGCCCCCACCCCTACACAGAGTACTAAGTTCCCAGGCCATGGCGTCTTGCTGCCTGGCAGGCCATGGGGCCCACAGGGTCTTAAAAGGATGTGCAAATTCATGCAAAGGAGCCCTGTCCTCAACTGGCTATCACTGGGTAGCCCTATGGGACAGGAGTGGGGTGGAGAGGCTCACCCGGTCAGCATCCAAAGACATGGCCTGGATGGCGGCTGCACGGCGGAAAGGCTGGATCTCCACAATGTTAAAGACAAGGCTGCGATCCTGCTCCCCTGACTCCACCACCTTGTGGATGGTACCCCTGTCTGTGGGTGGTGGGCAGACAGTCAGCTGATGGGGGCCCCATCATCAAGCCAGGCAACCTCCCCCTAGGCTGGGCCACCAGGAAAGACATGGGGTGGGAGGGGTGGGAAGTCTTGGCTCAGGCGAGAGTCATGGGACTGGGGGAGCAGGGGGCGAGGACAGCGTGACTGGGGAGGAACATGTGAGCCGGGAACAGCCAGCCCAAAAGTTTCCAAGGCTGGTCTGGAGAAACCATCCCAGGAGGCACAGGGCTCCCCAGAAAGGGCCCCCAGTGTGCCCAAGGCTGCAGGGGAAGCTGCAGGGTGGAGAACAACATCTCATACTCCCAAGTACTGTACTGAGCACTGCATGTACATTACCTTGTTTTACCCTTCACAGCCCTGTGAGGCAGGTGTTATCCTCCCCACTTTGCAGATAAGGAAATGAGGCTCAGAAAAGCTAAGTAACTTGCTCAAGGTCATATAGCAGGAATCCAGATGTGTCAGAACCTCACCCCTTAGCTTCTAAGAAGCCCCTGCCTTCTGGACTCTAAGGGGATAGATTTTCTTTAAATAAATTTTTTATTTTGGAATAATTTTAGATTTCCAGAAAAGTTGCAAAGATAGTACAGAGAGTTCCCATCTGCTCTTTCCCCAGTTTCCCCTAATGTTACCACCTTACATAGCCACGGTACATTTGTCACAACTAAGCAACTGACATTGGTACATTACTATTAACTACACTACAGTGTATAGACTTTATTTGGATTTCACAGGTTTTTCCACTAATGTTCTTCTGTTCCATGAGCCAATCCAGGACTCTACATTGCATTTAGTCATAGGGGATATTATAATCCTTTTAAAATATTAGATGTGAAAAGGACCTTCAACTTCACATAAGGGTTGCCAAGGTCCCTTAATCAGGCAGCCTGCCTCCTGCGCCAATGCACTCTCTGTTTGTACCTATCAGGGACTAAGGGGCATCCTGACCCCTGGTTGTCCCAATCCCACCTCACCTGCTGTCCCAGTTTCTAGAATAGCCTACGTCCCTCTTTCCCTCCCTCCCAATTTCCCAGGGCATCACCTGCCCCAAAAAAGCAGTCAGATGATTGCCTGCCTATGATGTTTCCTCTACATGTGCGTGACCCCCATCTGCAGACTCTGAGATGTGGCCAGATGCTCCTTTGGCCTGACAAGCACCCACCAGCCACTGCCTTCACAGACACACACAGCCCTGCACGTCCTTCCAAAAGAGCCCCAGTAACAGCTTCCCCTTGGCAAAATTCTCGGGAACAGAGCCAATAGTTTTTCCCAGTTATGAGAGCCTCCCATTATCTGCAGAGGACCTAGATAGTTCTATTTTTTATCTGCCCCCAATATTTCCAAATGCCGCAGGCTCCAAAATGCTGTCTCTCCAATGGTCCTCAAGGATAATCAAGACTACCTTCCTACCTCTCAAATGTGCTTCCTCCCAAGCCTGCAGGAAGGGAGCTCACAGCTCAAGTCCAGCCTTCCTTGTCCTGGCTCCCGCTCCCAGTCCTGCATTGTGAGACCTCCCCCGTTCCCTGCTGTCCCCTTGACTAACCACAGCAGCTCGGTCAGCCACTGCTGGAGCAGAGCAAGGATAGGGGCCCATGGGTGCAGCCAGGATGAAAGGAAGGGTAAAGAGATGTGGTCTCAAACCCCGGCCTTGCCCCATGGGAAGTTCTTCTCTCTGAGGCTTCCAGGAGCCAAACAAAGGTGTTAGGGTTCCAGCTTCAGATAAGGCCACAACAGCCAAAGTAAAGTAGCAGCAGGAAGTCACCCCAGGGAATGTGAACAATTGAGGATGGGTGCCTGGGCCCTGAACTGTGTAAACCCAGAGGTGTGCTAGGGGCCCTTTCCAGTCTCCAAGGAAGGCTTCCAGCCCCAACACTTGTCTGCAAGCCCACTCCCAGGAACCCCCTTGGGTACAGCCTGGGACCAGGAAGCTGCAACAAACCCAGCTCAGGGCTGGCTCCTATGGTGACTTTCCAGAATGCAGGAGCATCTCTCAGGGCATTTCTTCCAGCTCCCCCAGGGAGGTCCCCTTGCAGGGAAGAGGAAAGGCTGCCCCAGTCCTATGCAAGACCACAAAGGCTCTGCCGCCTACAACTCTTTCCTCACCTCTCACTAAATTCTTTGTGTTCTACCAACTCAAAAGTTTTCCTCTCACCTGCATAGTCCCAAAAACAGGCATTGGATCCCATCTCCTCACTCTGCCTGATGAGGTTCCCAGGATCCCTAGGGACCAGGACCCTCCTCCTGACTTTCCACATCTCTTTCTACCATCTTCTTCCCTGAGTCAGACATCTGCACCAAAGCTGCACCTGGCTCTGCTCAGACTCAACACATTCCTGCCTCCAAATCCCAGTGCATGCTCTTCTCTCATCAACAGATGCTGTCTCCTTTTCTCTCTGCTCCCACCTCCTCCAGGAAGCCTTCCCTGCCTGACTCTTCCACAGCCACACACATTAATAATCCCCAACAGCTCTAGTCACTTAATCCTTCCTTCCATATGTAAAGATCCAACCAGATGTTAATTACATTATTCTTTACACCTTTCATATCCATTTTTACAAAGCAAACCAGGGGGTCCTGGGGTAGCCCCTCACCTGTGGTTAGATAAAGCACGTGAAAGGTCTCCCCTTGTCCGGCCTGCATGCGGTGGACAACCACTTTCTGGTAGTGGTACTTAGAGTGGAACAATGGCGTCTTCAGAGGTCCCATGGGTTCCACCCTCTGTGTCACCTCAGGGTGACTGTCAGACACCTGGAAGGTCTCTGTGGGTATAGGCTGCCGGTTCGGGAGGCACTAGGCAAGGAGAGCAGATCCAGGTCAGAGTGGTGGATAGGAGGTGCAGTGGAGGTAAGGCTGGGCTTTGGGCCACAGCTGGTGTCACTGCTCACCTTGCCAGGCCGGGGGTTGGGGAGGCTGGTGTGGTAGCCCTTGAGTGAGGAGGTGCGGAAGACCCTGTCAATGTCACCGAGGGAATACACGCAGACAGCTGAGTAGTTCCTGTAGGGACACAGAAACCACTTGAATGGGGGGTCTAGGACCCACCCGCCTCCATTCACCCAGGCCAGCCCCATGCTAGACAGGGCACGACCACGCTCCTTGGCCTGGGCCCATCCTTGGAGCCAAGCCCAGTGCCTGGCACAGAGTTATCAAATGCCGCTAAAAGAAGGGAGGGAAGGAAGAGGAAAGGAAGGACGCAAGTTCAACCTAATTTATTTCTGCTGCAATCTAAAACCACAACCTTGTGTACTATTATGGAATAAGTGGGTTCAGAGATCATCTGCTCTACCCAACCCCAAGGCAGGAGGAATCCCAACATGGGCTGGGTGATTCTCTAATCCCTCTGGGCATAGGCTGCAGATAGTTACTGATGCCCCACAAGGACAGACCCCAATCCCCTCCCCAGTCCAGGGGGCTCCACCCACAGAGGAGCCACAGAGCAGGGTCTTGGCTTTCCCCACCCTATCCCCCACCTCTCCTCACAAACACCCAGCACTTTTGCCGGCCTTGTTTTCAATCAAGGAGAGTGATTAAGAAGTGTGAATTATCAGGCGCAGGCAGTGCCTGTGCAAGTGTGATAGCACCCAGACCCCAAGAGAGACTTCAGCAGCCTTTTCCCAGGGCCCAGTATCCACTCTGAGCAAACAAGGTGGTGGGACCCACAGGCACAAGTGTCATCATGCGTGTGCACACAGTGCATGCACACACACCCATGTGTACAGATTTACAAACACAACAGTACATACCTCACTTTGCCTTTCCCTACACCCCAGACTCAGCGAAAGTCCTGTCCCTTGAGCCTGTAGTCCCTGCTCATACCACACAAGCTGTCCCCTCAGCACAGCCCAAGCTCTCTGATCCCTACTGCACATTGACCCAATGCCAGCCCAGTCCCAGGGTAAGGGTCACTCACCAGGGGTTGGTAAAAACGCCATAGACCCTGGTGTCCCTCCACTGGCCGTTGGGGTCAGGGAGCAGGAAGACATCCTGCAGCCTGTTGAAGTTCTTGTTGGTGGCAGCATCACTGCACACCAGCATGGCTTTCAGAAAGGTATTCCACTTGGAGACCGACAGTGAACTCTCACCACCCTGGTCCCCCTGGAAGGGTGGAGGGGAGAGGAGGCCCCTCAGCACCTGCCTTGGCTGCCCCACATGCCCAAGGCACCTGCTGCCAGGATGCCAGCACTCAGGCTACAGGGGAGGAAGGTGGGCTGTGAGGGGCTGGGACCTACCAGGGGACCAGGCAGAGGTGCCCCAGGACTGAGGCCAGGTTTCCAGGCCAGGCTCTAGGCAGGTGGCCTGGCTGACCCAAGGCACAGGGCCAACAGTGGGGACCTGCAGATAAGGGTTGAGGGTCCCCACAGATCCAACAGTCTCAGACACACGTTTGCCCAGTCTCACACACGCACACTCACACACACAAATGACACAGCACACGCACACATGCAAACACAGTCGCACTCACGCATTCTCATGCACGTGCACACACACACACTCGCACACCATCTTTGCCCACTCACAGACGCAGGACAATCTGTGCACACAGTTACTCCCACAACCCCAGACACAGACTCACACGCTTGCACGCACTCCATGCACTCACACCCTCACTCACTCGTCTTCACACTCAGCCACCACCCCTCAGACACCCGCTCACCCTGCACAGCTGGGCCACGCGGGACACGTTGAGAGGCGCCTCGGGATTCTTGTCAGGATTGTCCTCCCGGAAGAAGTAGTAGATCTTGTCATCATAGGCCTGGTCTTGGTGCACAATTGTGGCCTTGATGAACTGAGGGTCTACCAGGGACATGGGCAAGTGGGTATGAGGCCGGGGAGCCTGCTCGGGGACCCACCCTCACCCTGCACACCCTGACCCCCCCCCGCCCCCACCCCCCCATCTGCACAAAACCAGGGCAAATCAGACCTGGAATAAAACTCAGAACATCAGGTGAAGCCCCCCAAGGGGTCCTAGGCTCTGTACCCGCACCCCACACTTGTTTTGTCCTCCTCTTACAAAGACATTACTGACCCAGAAGCAATGACTTCATGCCGGGAGACTGGGAGAAGGTCCCTGGGGGCCCCTATGTCACTTCTGCCTAATTGGCAGAGCCCTAATGAGGAGGGAGGGGTAGGCTGTCCCCACATGAGCTCAGCAGAAGGATAAACTTTGGGGCCAGCCCGTGGCTCACTTGGGAGAATGTGCCATGGGTTCAGATCCCTATATAGGGATGGCCGGTTAGCTCACTTGGGAGAGTGCGGTGCTGACAACACCAAGCCAAGGGTTAAGATCTCCTTGCCAGTCATCTTTAAAAAAAAGGGATAAACTTCGGCTCCCAGGGACCCTGCGCTGGGTCTGGGGCTTTCTCTGTTTTTGTTCCCTACAGCATGTTGGGCCCATCCTGCCTCACACCTTGCTTCTGCTGTTCTGCTTCCAGCAAACCCAAACTCCTCTGCGCTCTGGCTGCTCAGCCTTCACCAGCATTTACTTTTCCTGAATGGCCCAGCAGTCCTCAGGGAGCCCTCCCAGGGGACATCAGGACCCCATCTGCCACCCTGGGCATTCACACCTCCTCGTCCACCCTCAGCTGAACCGGAGCCTGACTCACTCTGCATGACAGTATCACTGGTGTACAGCTCACTCTCTCCCCGGATGCGGCGGAACCGAGGGATCTTCCCATTATATTCCTGCTTCCGGATGGTGGAGTACACTTCATTCCCTGGGAACAGTGGGAGGGGGCATGGGTAAGGGCAGACAGCTCCTGGAAGTCCCTGCCCCAGGCCTGGGCCGCTGGACAAGGAGCTGACCACCCCTCCCCCAGCCCCATGCAGCAGTATCCCTCTGGGGCCCCTGCTCCAGTGCTGCCCTACCTTCAAACAGAACCAGGGAGTTTTCGTCTGGGCTGAAGGGGGCATAGCCTCTCATCTCACCAAGTGGCACCACTGTGCCATTCACCTGGGGAGACCAAGGGGATCAGATGGCCACATGATTGCACGGCCACTGCCCCCACACAGAGGCCAGTTTCTTGGCCAGGGGGGCCTACCCTCCCAGGGATTCTGCCCAGGGTGAGGCCAGCCCCAGAGTCCCCCCATCTCCTCCCACCATGAGGGACAGAAGCCCACTCAGTAATGGGTGAGCTGATCAGGCACATGTGGAGGGGCCTCCTCACCAGGTTCCAGCAGCTGGGGCGCCGGGCGTTGGTGCCACACACCAGCAGCCCCTCACTCCGCCTCTCCAGAAGTGTGATATAGTTCTCACAGTCCTGCCCAGGGAAGGGAGAAGGGAGGACAGAAGTTGGTTGGTGGGAGGTCCTGGCAGGCCTGGCACCAGGGCCTGCAGTCTGGGAGAAGAAGGCATCAAAAAAGGCTGAGCACAGGTGGAAGCCTCCAAGGACAGCCTGAGGGGTGCAGCTGACTCCATCCTTTCCAGAGGACCATGTCTCACCCTCAGTCTAGAGCTCCCAGGGCTGGTCCAAACCTCCCCCATTAGTCTGGGGCTTCAAGGGTAGGACCATGCTTTCTTCTCAGACCCGCAGGGTCTCCTCTCCATTTCCAAGGGGCTCGGCACTGCCCCCCTGCCCTCCCGCCCCCTACTCACCCGCTTGTCCAGGCAGGACCCCTTGGTAGAGCCAATGTTCACCTGGGGGAAGAGGAGAAGCATTAGTCCACTCTGCCAGGGGCGAGATGCCCCCAAATGCTTTCCACGCAGCCTCCAGATGAGCCCTATGAAGGGAACATTATTCTCATCTTACAGATGAGCAACTGGGACTCTGAGACGGTGAGTGATTTACCCAAGGTCATGCAGGCTGCTCAGTCTGACACTTGGAGCTAAAGCCCAGGGATTTCAGAAGACGGGCCATGGGTCCTGGAGCCCAGCTTCCTGCCCAGGCTTCCCCCACAGCCCTGCCCACCTGGCCAGGCATGTTAACCCCTGGTTTTTCTCCACACCACCTCAATGCCCTACTCCAATCTGGACTACCTTTAGGGAGCCACCCCAGAAACCATTTGGGATAGGGAGGCAGGGGGACCAGCTCCCTCAGATTTTCTGAGGCCCCTCACCAGGGCCAGAGGAGAGATGGGAAGGTAACGGGGGAAAGAGAGGGGCTCAGCTGTGTCCCTGAGGCCAGCAGACAGGGTCCAGGCTCACCATGCTCACGGAGGCGTTCTTGCCCTCGGGGAAGCTGAAGAGGTAGACCTTGCTGCGTCCACCCACCCACACGGAGGAGCTGCCTGGCTCGTGGAAAAGCACTGTGTGTGGCTCAGCCTGGCCAAAATCCACCCGGTCCTGCCCTACACGGCCTGAGGAGGAGGAGGCAATTGATAGAAACATTGATGGTGGGCCCCAAGCAAGAAGATCTTGGCTCCCCCCCAGCATACCAGCCCCTGCCTGGCAATTAATGCTTGGTGCTGGGGGGCACTGGCAGGGCCTCAGAAACGAGTTCTGGGCTGTGTGGCACCAGGACTCAAAGAGTTAAGGATAGGATAAGTAAGGGGTCCCCTGGTGGGGTCCAGCAACCAGTTGTCCTCACTCAGAGTGTCCTCACCCCTCCCCTAAGGTGGCTGCCTCTCACTCCACCACAATATGTGTGACTTCAGGGTGGGGGAGGGTTTAGGGACCCCTGGGGAGAACAGACCCTCCCCCCTTAATGCGCCCCACACTCCTGAGGGACTGGGCTCAGGCAGGAGGACCAGGGCCCCTCAGCTTTGCTATAAGGCTCTCTGCTATGCAATGACCAAGCAAGAAGCCACCTCCACCTGGGCCTTTCAGCAGGCAGCAGGGCCTTTAAGTACTCCACTTAGAGTCCTGGTTCCCAGGAATCACTTTGTTCAAAACCCTGTCCCCTCCTTCAGGAAGCCCTCTCCAACCCCTCCTGGTCCACCCCCAGTCCCTCAGTGAGCACTATATCAGAGCTGGAAAGGAATCTTTTTTTTTTTAATTTTTTTAATTTTGTCAATATACAATGTAGTTGATTATCATGTCCCATCACCGAAACCTCCCTCCCTCCTCCCTCACCCCCGTCCCTCCCACCCAAGTGGAAAGGAATCTTAACATCCACTCCTTCCCATGTCTCAGATGGGAAAACAGAGGTCAAGGGAGGGCAGCCCAAGGGCACACAGAAGGAGGTGGGTGGCAGGCCCTGAACCAGAGACCCTGCTCCTGCCCCCCGAGCTGGACTCTGCAGCATGGCCCACTCTGGCCTGGTTTCACCCACTGAGATGCCAGCTCTCCCTCCCCAGAAAGTCTGGGATGGGGGACCTTCACAGAGCAGAGCCTGGGCCTTTTAGGACTGACCAGAACAATTTTGCCCAAAAAAGAAACTGTCTGTGGCCACTGCCTCTGGGGAAAAGGCACTCATCTCCGGTGACATTGCTGAGGTTGTCCTGGTTGCAGGACTAAATTACAGGGATGGGATGGCCTGTGGGTGTGCTCACAGCAATCAGCCAAGCCAGCATCTTCCCACCTCTGACCAGCCTGGGGCCTCACCCAGGAACTGGGTCTGACTGCTGCTTCTTCAGCTGTAGCAAACTCTAGGGCAGCCAGCTCAGCAGTGACACCCAAGCAGAACAAACTCCAGCCCAAGCATAAAAGAACTACCATTTCCTCAGGTCTGCCCCAAATCCCTCTTGCTGCCATTTGAGCCATTCCTACTGATTCAGCATTCAACTGGGGTAAGGAGCAGGTGGACCGCACCCCGTGTGACCCTCACCTTCATTTCTTTTCCTTTAAGACACATCCCTGTGTGGCCAAATCTTCCCTGGAAGAGGGAATATTATCATTCTTCACCTTTACTAGGGCCTGGCTCACTGCACAGAGGAGGAAACTCAGGCCCCCTGGGGGCTATGCCTAGCCCAAGGTCACACTAGCAGGCAGGACAGATTGGCTCACCCAGACTGAGTCGTGGTTCTCAGGAGCATTTTGGTAGATGCCAACACGGCGGCCGCAGAGACAAGTGCTGAGCTTGCTACCTTCGGGTCAGTCTGGCTCTCCTCAGACACTCCACAAACAGCCTGACCGAACAGCTCAGGGGATGGCAGCCATACCTGGACCCCAAGTCTCCCTCCCTGTCAGCCCAGATGTGCAGGGCAGGGACTGAGAGCCCAGCTCTGTGCTGTTGGGGGGTGGGAGGGTGCTGTCAAAGGCCGGAGCGGGCTGACAGGTCTTGGGCGCTGCTCTGCTTCCCCTCCCTTCCAGTTGGAGTGAAATTAGAGTGCTAGGGTCAGCAGCCCACAGACACACAGTCTTCCTGACTCAGCTTCCACGGCTCCCCTTTCGCCCGTAGCCTGAGCAGCGGGCGCCATCCCCACAGCCCAGCCCGGGATCTGGACAGTCTGTGGCCCCAGATCCCCTCCCACTGGCCACATGGCCCGCCGGGCAGCCATGAAAAGGTGCACGTTTGAATCTGGAGATATTGGCAGGGGCCTGAGATCCACAGTCGCCGGGAGCCAAGGGAGAGGAGCCTCAGCCCTCAGACCATGCTGGCCACCTCCACCAGCCACCTCTGCCCCCACAGCAAGGCCAAAGTCCAGGCCTCAGAGAAGGGCCTCAAGGCTAATGTACAACTCTACTCATGGGGAAAGAGGCACCAGGACAGACTCTGGAGGGAGCCCTTGTCTGGAGGTTGCAGGGCTATCTGTCAAAGGGAAAAGGAAAGCAACCCTGGCCTGGAGAGTCAAGCCTGATAGAGGAGGCAAGGGTCTGGAGAGCAAGGTCTGAGGGGCAGACCCGGTCCTACACTGGGAATCCAGTCTGGGGGTGAGACAGCCGCACACAGAAAGTTTCCACAGCTCTCAAGCAAACTGTCTTAGTACACACCCTAGGGCTGCTCACAAAGTATCTACCAGAGACAGGAAGGTAGGGTGAGGGCTGCTGGCTGATAGGGGGTGGGGGAGTGGACAGGGGACTTCAGTGCTAGGGCCAGGACCGTCCTGTACAGATCTGCAAGCCTGAGCCTAGTTGCCCTCAAATCCTGGCTGCAACAGCCAGGGTGAGGGGAGCCAGAGATTGCTCACCCCATTTTGCAGAAGAACAAACAGGAGCCCAGGAGCATTGCCTCTCTTGACCCCCAGGTTCCTTCCCCTCCCAGCTCTGTGCCTGGTGATGTGTATGGGGGGTGGGAGGTGGCACCAGCTCAGCCCCGGGACAAGGCCTTGGCCCATTATCCACCCCAGCCCTAGCCTGGGCTCCCGCACCGCGCTGGAGGCCCTCAAAGGGCCTGATTGTGCCCGGAAAGTGTCGGAGTGGCAGCAGCTAGATGAATACATGAAAGGAAGCTTTGTTCAGGTCGGCAGGAGCGGGGGCTGGGGGTTCAGGGGCAGGAGGGCTGCCTGGAAGTGAAGGCAGCACCAAGCCATCATGGCCAGGGTCTGTGGCCCCATTGGATCAAAATGGAGAGAGGGGGCGGCCTTCAAGTCTCTGCCCAGCAAGGGTTGAGCAAGTCCCCTAAAAAGCCCCAGGCTGAGGGAGTAAGTGTCACATCCCTAAATGCTTTCTTTTTGCCGCCTCATGGAATCCAAAGGGATGGGGGAGGCAGATCAAAGGTAGATGGGCCAGGAACAGGCAGAGAGAGAATTCCAGGCAGGAGAAACAGCCTGAGCAAAGGTGGGGCAGCTGACTGTATGGTAGGTACAGAGGACAAAGGCCCCGCATATGATGGGGGAGGGGAGGTGCAGCCAGCCCAAGGACACACTGACCCACTGCCCATCAGTTTTCACTGCTGCTTGCTCCCTATAAGCAGGGCCAGGAGCGGGAAATGCCTCCCCCTACCCCAGCGTCCCCTCACCTCCCGGCTCCCCCTGCTTCCCATCCTGTATGTCTAAAAGGAGCACCGTCTGGCACCGTGTCTCCCCCCTCACTCCCTGGCCTGACGCATTAGTGGCTGACTAAGTGGTAGCTAAAAGCTCCCAGAATAACCAGGGGTTCAGGAAGGGGAGGGGGCTAGGGGCACAAGGGGAGGGTATGGCCCCAGAGGCAGGCTGGGCACAAGACAACCCACCCCCATTGCCATGTGATGCTGAGCGAGTCTTCACTCTTGCTGGATGGAGAAAGAGTACACTCAGGCTGACCCATACCCAGCTGCACGCCATGGCCCACTCCAAGTGCCCACCTCCCCACAGTGGCAAGACCAGCAATCCCCCGCCCCAGCCTCAGCCAGATATGAGTGTCAAGAGGATGGCTGAGCTGTGGGAGACAGTCTCTTTCAGACACAGCCCCCTGGCCAGGGTGCTCATGGAGCTGATCCTGTTGCAAAGAATCAGGCCTGATTCCTCTTGGGCCCCCACGCTTGCATTCTGGTCCCCGCAGCTGACTGTGGCAAGTCTGGACTTCTGTAGGGTAGGTTTTCCAAAAGCAGGCCTGCCTGGTGGAGCATCATTCCTCTTCTTATTCACTCTGGATGCTGTCCCCATATCCTCATTGCTTGTGAAAGAAGAGGGCACCCCGCAGGGAGGGCAGAGTGGGGGCTGTTGTTTGCCACAAAATGAGCAATGACATGGGGCTAGGCCCCATGGTCTAGTCTAGGCAGAGACAGCCTTCCGACCTGACCCACTGACTCAACAGGCCTTCAATGCTAACCTCAAGAAGCCCTTTGAAAGTGGGCAAAGAGGCGGACTCTGAGAACAGCAGGAATGTGGGTGCTCCAGCGGGAAATGCCTTAGTTGGGCATCCAAGGAGGCCACAGGCCACGGAGTAGGAGCCAGGTAAACCTCAGGTCCAGGATCCAGCCACATATGGCAGGAGCCTCCTCCCCCAGTTGTGTCCCACCCTGCATTGCCCAAACTACCCTACACTCTTGCCTAACCACATGCCTGGCAAAGAGATCAGAAGGAAGGCCTATGAGGGGTACAAGAATTAGTCTGCAGCCTCTCCACTCTTTGGAATCCCACACCCCACAGATCACAGTAGAAGGGAAGATATCTGAACAGTAACTGAGCTGAGGGGGCACAGAGGCCAGAGGGGCTGTGCCACTAGCCCAAGGGCACACAGCAAGGGAGGTTCAGTGTTTCTGGTACTTGTCACCTAGCTCCATCTCCCCAGCACCATATCCTGGACTTCCTTGAGAGTCTCTTGATTTGTAAAAAGCTGTACATTCAGCCTCTCTCTACTTCCCTGTGTCAACCCTCTCTACCCTTCCCTCCCTTGTTCACTAGATGCCAAGTCACTAACCTAATAAATGGAGGGAATCACCCGCCCACCCACCTTCTAGGTGGAGCCCTGATTTCCCAGGGGCCTTTAGCATTCAAAGCCTTAAATCCAAAGGAATGACTAATGGTAGAACTGTAGGTGCTGTGTCAGAGCAGTG